GGGACGCCTGGGTGGCTCAGTCGGTTAAGCGTCTGCCTTCGGCTCAGGTCATGATCCCAGGGTCCTGGGATCGAGTCCCGCATCGGGCTCCTTGTTCCGCCGGGAGCCTGCTTCTCGCTCTGCCTCTGCCTCTCTCTCTCTACCTCTCAAGAATAAATAAATAAAATCTAAAAAACAAAAAAAAACACAATTGTACTCATGGGCATCTATCCTGGAGGGATGAAAACTTACGCTCACACAAAAACCAGGATACAAATCTTCACAGTAGTTATTCATGAGAGCCCCAAACTGCAAATAACCCAAATGTCCTTCTACCTGAATGCTTCACCGACCGCGGCACATCCATCTCATGGCATGCTACTCGGCGATCAAAAAGAATAAACACTGATGCGTGTAGCCAGCAGGATGGATCTCAAGAGAATTAAGCTGAGTGAAAAAGCCAGTCTCAAAGGTTACATACTGTGCAATTCCACTTATATAACATCCTTGAGGAAACAAAACTGTACAGATGGAGAACAGATACATAATTGACAGGGGTTAGGGAGGCAGGAGGGAGGGAGATGGTCCTAGCAAAGGATAGCATGAAGGATCCCTGTGAGAAACGTTCTGTTATGTAGCTTGACTGTAGCTGTCACAGGAGTCCACGTGTGATAACTTTGCATAGAACTAAATACACATACATACATACACACACACACAGGAGCGCATGTAAAACCGTGAGATCTGAATTAGGTTGGTGGATTGTATCGAAGCCAGTTTCTTGGTGGTGATATTGTACTGTAGTGTGCAAGATGGAACCACTGGGGGAAACGGGGTGGAGGGAATTGGGATCTCTCTGTGTTATTTCTTCAACAGCATGAGAATCTACAATGGTCTCTAAAAAAAAAAAAAAAAAATCTTCCAGGAGCTACACATCTATTAGAATGACTTTTTAAAAACCTACCAATACCAACTGCTGGCAAGGATATGGAGTAATGGGGCGCCCGGGTGGCTCAGTCGTTAAGCATCTGCCTTCTGCTCAGGTCATGATCCCAGGGTCCTGGGATGGAGCCCCGCATCGGGCTCCCTGCTCTGCGGGAAGCCTGCTTCTCCCGCTCCCACTCCCCCGGCTTGTGTTCCCTCTCTTGCTGTGTCTCTCTCTGTCAAATAAACAAAATAAAATAAAAATCTTAAAAAAAAAAAAAGGATACGGAGTAATGAGACCGCTCATGCATCGCTGGTGTGAATATAAAAATGATACAGCCACTTGGAAAAAGTCAGCAGTTTTTTTATACAGTTAGACATAGACTTACCATATGACTCAGCAATCCTGCTCCTACGTATTTATACAGAGCAGAATGAAAGCTTATGCTCACACAAAAAACTGTACGTGAACACAGGCTATATTTGTAATTGCCCAGAACTAGAGATGACCCAGCTGGAGGCTGAATCAACAAACCATGATATATAATCAAATACTACTCAGCAATGAAAAAGAATGAAATATGGCTACACGTGTCGACATGAATGAATCTCTGATGAACATTTCTGGGTTACAGAAGCCAGACTCAAGCGGCCACTAAGTATAGAATTCCATTTCCAATATTCTGGAAAAGGCACACCTATTGGGACAGAGAACAGGTCAGTGGTTGCCAGGGGCTGGGGTGGGGACAGGGTTGATTATGAAGGAGCATGGGGACTTCTGGGGGTGATGGAAACATTCTGTATCTTGGCTGTGGTGGTGGTTACAGGACTTTACACATTTACCAAAACCCACAGAACCGTATGTGAGAAAAAAAATGAAGTTTACATTATGTGAATTACACCTCAATATTTTTAAAAGGCAAAAGATTTATACGATCTGAAGAGAAACCAGAGTATATACCTCAATATTTTTAAATCAAGAAAAAATTAGGCCGTGTATCTTATAACTCTTCACATCAATTTATGTAGAAGGATATATGTGCAATTCAATGTAACATGCTCAAAGAGAAAATATATATTATTTTAGCTCCTTTCTAAAAATACGCTCAAGGGCGCCTGGGTGGCTCAGTTGGTTGAGCAACTGCCTTCGGCTCAGGTCATGATCCTGGAGTCCCAGGATCGAGTCCCGCATCAGGCTCCCTGCTCGGCAGGGAGTCTGCTTCTCCCTCTGACCCTCCCCCCTCTCATGTGCTCTCTCTCTCTCTCAAATAAATAAAATAAAATAAAAATCTTAAAAAAAAAATACGCTCAAACAAAATGCTTAGGAGTTGTTTTTAGGAATGTAGGCATTATAAGTATAGTTTTTTCTTTCTAATAGTGTTATTCTACAATAAGAAAATGCCTTTCTTTACACGAAAAAATTATTTAAAACAGAAAACTAAAACGATAGAAAGCAAAGATGATGAGATGTTAGCATGTGTTATTTCTGGTGGAGGACCCAGGGGTATTACTCTGGGCACTTTTCCCTAATACCATCCCCTGGAGTGCTGTTTTAAGAATTAAATTGATATTATATAGAGAGCGCTTAGCTCTCTGTGTCTGAGCAACAGTAATTGCCCAAAGTATGTCAGCTCCCCCCCTCCCCTATCCTCCAAATCTAGATCATGGGACCCTTCCAAGCTGTTCTCCACTCGGTGGTGCTGATCGCCCTAACCAGGCTGGGAGGTTCCATGAGACTTGGCCAGGGTAGCAAAAGGATTGACCCTCAAAGAGCTGCAACATAGTAGGCCCTCAGCACCTTGCCAGGGAGTGAATGACCCTGCAAACAGTGGGTGCCCAATAATTATTCTTTTGAATGGACAACTGAGTATACAGCCACGAGAGAGGCGTCTCATCCCACCCAGCCAGGAAGAGGCTTGACCAGACACAGGGCACCAAAAGGGTAAATTTTTGGCTGAGGGACCCACCTCCTCCTCGTTGCACCCCAGTTTAGATTGGGAGTAAAAGCCGTCTCTGGAACCGGCAAAGCCTGCTCCCCTCCCAGCTACCCCCGTCTTCTCCCTCCCAGGATGGATGCCCCGGGCCTTAGGCAGGCAACGGAATGTTGTGTGGTTGGTTGCCCAGGCAACCAAGGCCTGCTAGGTGGCTGGCTGCCTTCTTCCAGTACAGAGCACGCTGCTACGCTGCCCTCCACCCGCTGCCCTCCACCCGAAACCCCCAGGGCCTCCTGAGCTAGTGCAAGACTCCGACACTGTGGAAAGAGAGCCCCGGGGCAACTGCAGGGAGAATGGCCGTGCCCTGGGAGGAATATTTCCGACTGGCCTTGCAAGAGAAAATGCCCGAGTGAGTGCTTCAGAATGGCAGGGAGGGGAGAGAGGGGGGCAGAAGCGGGTGGGACGACCCATGCCTTCCCCTTGCCTGTGGCGCCTGGCTTCCTTGGGCAGTTCCTGGCGGCGTATTGCTGTCCCCACTTCACAAAGGAGGAAACTGAGGCTCAGAGGAAAATGGTCTCTGGGCTAGTTAGGGCAGAGCCAGTTAAGGCAGAGCTGGGTTAACAGCCCAGGCCTCTCATCTGTTCCTGATCCCCACTCCTGGCTGACGTCCAGCTGAGATTTAATCGTTTGGACTGAAGGGAGAAGGAATTCTGTGAACTCTTGCTCCCCTCTCCCTGCGAACGCTGCATTTTCAAGGAGGAGTGGAGGAAGCTTGTCGGGTGCCTACTTTGTGTTCCGCAGTGACTGAGAGTCCCAAGCTCAGTGTCAGAGTCTGGACGAGTGCTGGGAATGCCCTGCTGAACAGAATGTTCAAGCAACCCTTCTGCTCTCTACACAGCCACCGTGTAGGGCTGTGTGCAATCCACCCCCCCTCAACACACACACCCCAGCAAGACTCCAGATCCCAGCCTCCTCCTGGAGCCCTCGCAGGGAGGTCTAGGGGAGGTCTAACAGCCTTCCGGCCACAGCTCGGCCACAGCAAGGAGCTGCTCTCCTCTGCTCCCCATTCAGCCTTCCACCAGCACCCTCCTTCCAGTTCACCTGGAGTTCACCTTTCTCTCCTTTCTCACCACCCCCACCCCCCGTCACTGCATCAACTCTGCTCTTAAACTGCAGCGTGACCGCCCTCCTCACCTCTACCCTACAACCACCTGACCAGACCCACATTGTCTCTGTGTTATCCCAGAACCCGGTTCTTCACCATCTCCTGCAGCTGCCCTGCCTTTCCTATGGTCCTCGCCCCCCTCCCCCACCCCCACCCCCAGGAGCCTCAAGAGCCTTCTACAATCCAAGGTTCTTCTCTTGGGGCCTTGGCATTCGCTGTTCCCTGCAGGTATCCACATGCTCACTCCCTCTTGCCCTTCTTGCCCTTCGGGTCTCTGCCTAGATGACCCCAGGGTCTCCTCGGAGAGACTTTTTCACCTCCCCATTGAAAGATTTCCTTTTGCCTGCTTCATTTTTCATCTGAGCACCTACCATGTCCTAGTATTATTTATTATTTGTTAGCTTTATTTTCTGTGTCCCCCACCCCCAGCAGAACGCCGGCTTCTGGAAGGTGGGGATTTTTGTCTGCCGTGCTCACACCTGCACCCCCGCCCCCAGTGCCTAGAAAGGTGCCTGGCACAGAGTAGTTGCTCAGTACAATTTGTTGAATGAATGAACAATTCAACAGCTAGTCTATGGCTAATGGGGGCATTTCAAGCACTGGTGGGGAGTTTGGGGGCCCTGACTCTTGCCTCTTCCATCCCCACCTCCCCCTTGGAGCCCCCAGGAAGATCCCAGAGCAAAACGAGGACACCCTCCCGCTGGTGCTGCATCTCCTGGAGAAGAGGCAGGAGCTGGTGGATGCGGACCGGCGCCTGCAGGCCCAGAGGGAAGTGAGCTTGCACTGTAGTCCCTGAGACTTTTGGGGATCCCGGGCAAAAAAAAAAAAAAAAAAAGACGGTGAGCAGGGGTTGGGAAGTAATGAAGCTGACCTATTAGCTACAGGGTCTGAGACGGGTCATTTCACCACTCTGAGCTTTGGTTTCCTCATCAATGATCAAATGAGATCAGTTGGGGCAAATAAATGCGCACTGAGCACCTACTATGTGCACGACACTGCATTGGGATCTAGACATCTCACCATAGTCCCCCTCCATGGGGCTCACAGTCTAAAGAAGGAGACAGACAAGTGTCCAGGTGGAGACTGCTATCAGGTGGGGAAGCACTGAGAAGGCTGTGGGAACCCCGAGGAAGCCCCTATCTCCACAAAGAGGTGGTCAAGGAGGGCTTCCTGAAGGAAGTCATGTCTGGGGATGGGGGAAGGGCAAGTCAGCTTATCCAGCAAAGGGGGTGGGGTGGGGTGAGGAGGGAGAAGAGGGCAGAGGGAAGGGCGCATACAAAGATTGGAAGGCAAGGACAAAACACAGGAGGACCAGTGTCTGGAAGACAGTGTTAAAGGAAGGCGGTGAGATGAGACCAGAAGGAAGGACAGGGACAGCGGCATGCAGGGGCTACAAGAGGGCACTGAGGCTTCATCACACATGGGAAGAGCCATGGGGGGATTTGAACAGGGGTGCAGCGACAAGATCAGGGACAACTGATGACCAAAGTATGATCCCGAAGGTGCTGGATAACTTGAACCCCTAAACACACACAAACAACCAACTCCTCACCTCTCCCCAGGCGTGCCAGACCATGATGGCAGCCCGGAAACAGCGCTGGGAACAGTTGGAACAGAAGGAGCGGGAGCTAAAGGGGTCTTTTGTGCGCTTTGACAAGTTCTTGCAGGTAGGTGCAGACGGCTGGGGGAGGGGAGGCAGGTCATTGGGTCACAAGGCCAGACTTGCATGTGAATTTTAAAGTGGGCTTTCCTAATACAAGAGGGAGTAGTAAGAAATACGCACGCACTGCCTGATGCATTTGAGTTTTTAAAAAAGCATGGGGGAGAAGTGAGGGACCAAAATCAGACACTGGCTGAATCTGCCCACGGGCCACCTGTTTGCTACGTACCGCGCGGCGTGCCAGTGTTGGGGCGGGTGGAAGCGGGGAGCGCCGGCGGCTCCCAGGTCGTGAGGGCAGTCGCCTCCCTTCCATCCGCCTCCCCAGGACAGCGAGGCCCGGCGCGGCCGCGCGCTGCGGAGGGC